GCTCCAGCTGTTGATATGCCTCCTCCAGTTGTTGAAGTGACTCCAGTTGTGGCTCCAGCTGTTGATTTACCACCTTCCTCTCCTCCAGCTGTGGAAGTGACTCCAGTTGTGGCTCCAGCTGTTGATTTACCACCTCCCTCTCCTCCAGCTGTGGCTCCAGTTGCTGATTCTCCACCTCCATGTGCACTGGTTCCACCTCCTCCTGAGCCAGTAGCAGCCCCCCCTCCTGTTCCAGAGCTCACCTTTGAAGAGCCCTGCCCGCCTTGTCACTGTGTGGAGCTGGCCGTCATACCCACTGATGCCCCTGTGGTCAGTGAACCCCTCGTAGAGCCTGTAATGCCACCTCTGTCTGAGCCACCTCCATGTGAAACAGCTCCTGAAGAGTCCACCCCCATCCTGTCTCTGCCCCCTGTTGTTGAGGATGAAGTGACCTCAGTGCCTCCACCTGCCAAAGGTACGTTGATATCTACTGTTGTGACGTATTCATGTGCCTGTAGAGGTTTATCAGAGCTCAGGGACACAGGTTTGACTTGTTGGAACAGCATCACCTGGTAGCTCGGGTACCACATATCAAGCAGCCACAGGTTCATTTATGACCCAGCCCTTTGCTGTGTGTTTTCCCCTGTTCTGTCTCCACCTTTCACTCTAACTGTCTAGTCAATTAAGACAAAATGGCTATAAATATAAAAAACACATTCACACGCATTCCTTCAAAATTATTAAAATAATCATAGACATTTATTCTGACAGTGCTAGATAAGTGCTGTTTTCCTTTACAGTCTCATTGGAGAAACAAATGTATTTAATATTAATTTATGCAAACTATGGAGGATCCGCCAGAACTTTGTCATATTAATTATATTCCTGATGAATAGAAATTCAAAACTAAATTCCTGATTTTCTTCTTTTTCTTCGTCTGACAAACAGCGTTGCCTGTTTCTCCTGAAGTGGTGGAGGGAGAACTGAGGCAGAAGATCAGAGAGGAGATGCAGAGAAGTCTGGAGGACGAGATCAACCAGAAGAGACAGGAGCTGCTGCTACAGTAAGAAGGGGTGGTCTATTGTGTGTCTGACAAGGTGACATAAAGTAGAACTTAATTCAAGCTCAACACAATCTTTTGTGACCAAACTCCTCTGTAAACATGGTAAAATAAATACAGTCAAAGAAGCAGAAACTGTTTGAAAAACAATCATAAGATCCACCGAGTAGCTTTTGATCATAATATCACATGATGTTCATCAGACATCAGGTACTTCCCGTCAGTATTCTCTTAAAACTTAATTCTTGACATTGGAAGCAGCAAATGAATTAACATTTTTTCATTAAGTGTCAAACTTGTTACTAACAATTAATCCTTGAATAATTTTCTTTTAATTATTAAATGTAATCAAATCGTAAGAAAAGAGTAAAAATGTTAAGCCCAGTGAGACGTCTTCACATTTTGTCCAACAAACATTCGGAATCCCATATATTTTCATTTCACAAGACAAAATAAATATCACAGAAAATCTTCACTTTCTAGTTAAAATATATATAAAACATTTAATCAACTGTCAAAATTACTGCTGATGAATTTTTAGTCCACTAACTCATCAGCTTCAGCTCATCATATATGAACTGTGTGAAAGAGGTCATGGGGTCACAATAGAAACTGTTCTGACATGTGATGTGTGCGTACATATGCAGACTGGAGGAGATGAGGGCTCAGGCTCAGGTCGAGGCCACGGCTTCAGCTCAGGCTCAGGTGGAGGAGCAGGTGAAGAAGACACTGGAGGCGGAGAATTCGGCGCACATGGAGAAGCTGACGGACGCCATCATGAAGGAGCGAATGAGGACAGCGGACGAGAGGCTCATGGTGCAGCTTTATGTGAGCAGAAAAAAAACACATGCATGTCATTTATGTGCAGTACTGTGCAAAAGGTTTAGTCCATAAAAGTAATGTTGGAATGCATTCAAATCAAAGTGTTTTATTTATCGATCAACCTCATGAAACTGCAGCAAACAAAACTGGGTTAAAGCAGCTCCGGGTCTCCAGGATACATGGCAGATACAGTAGGTTTTTCAAATCACTTTAGAGAACTTGATCTCTTCTGGCTTAAGTCTGTTTCACTATCTGGTTAATATCTAAAGGTCCTAAACCTTGTGCACAGTACTGTGAGTATGAGGATCTCTTGTAAATACGACTCCTCTTACTTTTTCTCTTTCTTGCCCTATTGTCTTGTTTCAGAGGATGGAGCTGAAGGTAAGATGGGAGAGAATGCATGTTTTAATCTTTCACTTTCATTCTTCTCTAACTAAACCCCATTGAGGTTAACAGCCCGAGACTTGTCCACGGTGTCAGAAGAGACAATACAACATTAAGCATGAAGGACAGAAGATACACGAAACAGTTGTTGGTATTTAAGCAACGCTATGTAACTTTGCTGAGCAACAGCAAACCCAGCCGCACCAAGTAAAAATTCATTATTTTGGTAGTAGTAGTTTTCATGTCCAGAAAGATTTACCATCACGTTTGCAATATGTTGAGCACAGGGACACCCAGGTCTTCATTTTAATTTCCCTCTCTAAACTATTCTAATAAGAAAACGGTGAAATGTAGAGTTTGAGCGTATATTTTTGTTTTAGAAGTTTTCTTCATGTGATAAAATTGTTTATGGACTCAGGCTCATCAGCTGGAGGAGAAGGAGAAACAGTTGAAGAAACGAGACACTCTCTACAAGGAACACATCGCAAAACTTGAAACCAAGGTAAATGAACTTTTTGGATACTTTTCATTTATTTTAAGCTGCATGGATCAGTTTTTACCACTATGTGGTGCTATGACCCAGATTAATGTTAAACTACACCTAGATTATTATACTGTTTAACAAAGCAATATAAACTGGAAATTGCTGTATATGTGACTCATGTTAATGTTTTAAACAAATGAAAATATTACACAGCTGTGATTGACTTCAAAATGTGCATGTTGTTTCTTACTTTCTCTCTTTGTGTATTTTAGTTCGAACTCTCTGTGATTAATTTGCCTCTAGTTGTGACACAGCAAAGACAACTCTGCGTTGCCTTGACAGATTTGACCTTATTCAATGATTTATTTTTCGAACAAAAGAAAGAATGAAAGAGCAGTTTTTACATTTTACCTCCTCACCTATGCAATTGCTTATACAAGGTTTGAAAAAATAATGATAAGAATAGGAAATAGAAGAATTATATGAGTTTCTTTTCAGATTTTTTGATTGGTATTTGATCTGGATGGTGATGTGTGTTGTGTTTACGTCTGTGACAGTGCACTGAGTTTTATAAAGTGACAGCAGAGAGCTTCCAGAAGGGCAAAGAGGAGACACACCAGCGTTTTGCGTGAGTCATTTATGTTAATACTGTTTCTACAAATTTATTTTGGGATGACTGTTGTGCTTGGTGAGCTTACAGAGTGCAGTGACCTATGCAAAAAGTTAAACATTACACATGTGACAATAGTGTAGTTTGTCTGCTAGGTGACATTAACCACAGAACCAGCGTGATGTTTGACATTTGCACTTCTGTGCCTCTGCCCTCTCAGGCGCTTCGACGTGCAGCCGGTGTGTGGAGACCTGCAAAGTCAGATTCTAAAATGCTACAAGGACAACACAGGAAAAACTCTGTCTTGCTCGAGCATAGCCTCAGCCTACATGCAGTGTGTGGACAACGCCAAGAAAGTATGACTCTGCATCTACTGTCACATTTGACTTTTTATTATTTCTCTTCATGATTGGTTATAACTTGTTTTCTTTCCATCTACAGAATAAGTTGAGCACTGGAGGTTAAAATGAACCACGCGATGAAGACGTCTGACATATTTACTGTTGCAGTGAACAAACGATGAAGGACAAGGAAATAGAAAAAGTGCCACATACCCTCAAAGTGACTTGTCTGGTCTGGTACTGGTGTCACAAACACAGTTTCATTTTACACTTCATGTCTGTGACCTTGTTGGTTCTTGGGATCATCCTTAAACTTTTTGTGCCAATACCACAACATGACAGGAGGATATTTCTAAGTGCTTGTCTATGTTAACAAGGCAGAAAAATAACAAAGGAGCATTAGGGTGAAGTTTGCTGCACATGGTTTTCATTTTGAGTGTGAACAAGATATTTGTATGAGAAGCAGTGTATACTGAATATGTATGTGTGCCTTGAAGCTAATAATCAGACTGCAGATGCATGAGAGAACAGAGGAGCAGAGATGTGATATAACAAAGACCTGTTGCTTGTTAAAGTTTATGTACGTCGATGATTTCAGGGAATCCCCTTCAACTTCTCACCCTCAAAGTCTGGTGAATGCACAAAATAATAAAAAGGTTTTGTTTGATCTAAAATTAGTTTCTTTATTTCGCAGCTTGAGAAAATAAAATGCAGGTGATTGTTTTCCGTGATGAATTTAGATGAAGTACAAGAATCAAGAGTTTATTAGAAAGTCAGTTTAATAGGCTGAAATTATTAAAGGGTTGTTTTTAACTTATGTGCTGCTACTGAGAAATGATCATTAGTGCAGACATTCATGTTACTCAGAGGATGAATCTTAATGACTTAGGTGATCACTCTGAATGATTCAACTGGAGTTCCCTTCAGCTCTTTGGGGAGTTTTTAGCAGGGAGTGTTTTATTATTATTTTACAACCTGCATCTTTATTACTATGATTCAATCTCAGTCACTTCTGTCATCAGGGTCATATCTAGAAACAGCAGACGTTGGTGCCTGCTGGACGATGATAAGTAGTCAACTGCTGATTGTGTGTCAGGGTTGTGTTTACATGTGGTTTTTGCTGTAAAGATTATTCCAGGTTTACTAATAACTATAACATCCACATTCTGGCCCCTTCAGTGGCCCCCTTCTCTGCTCAGGTAGGGGGCGACCTGCTCTCTTCTCACTGCTGTATCTATCTTCGTGTCAGATTACGTGTTCCTTCAGGTGAATGGACAGAGAAAGTAAACCTCACAGAGATATATAGTATATATAGATACATCGTGATCCAGGACCTGTTTGTCCATCTCTGGTTCGACAGGTCTCACTAACTAATAGCTGGCTGCTGATGACTCCTCTCAGCTCCAGATGTTGCTGCTCATTGTGGGATTCTGTTTAAAACGTCGTATTTAATGGCAGATGAGATGAAATTAGCAGTGAAAGAATAATATCACATCTCCATAGGGATTTACAACACAGTTTTAAGTTTTTGAAAGAACAGTAAAACACACTTAAATGTCATACATAAAATTGTATGCTTGAAATCATAAAAAGAAACACCATCCATCCATGTACCTCTCCTAAACCATGCTTTCTAGCTCTTCTTAGAAGATCCTAGGGCATTCTCCGGGATATGTAGTCCCTTCAGCGAGTTCTGAGTCCACTCTGGAGTCTCCATCTCCACAGAAAGGCCCCCAGGAGACATCTTAACTAGATGTGCTTTTTAACTATATTTGGTAAAATGTTGGCAAATTAAATACTGGGTCTTGGTTTTGTTGTGCTCCTGAAAGAATACAATTAGTATGTTTTTAAAAAAAATGTTTTATTATTATTTGCAAATCTGGGGGGAAGCCAGTCTTCACAGTAGATATTTCTTTCTCTGAAACGTTTGCAGTCTGGTAAATATCTTTCTGTGAGCGCTCTGAGCTTATATTGTGTGGGCAAAAAGAGATTGGAAGAGAAAAAGAAGTAGAGTAGCATTTAAATGTCTCTGAAGGCCACAGCCCTTTGGAAATGGAAGGTGGGTGAATGAATGTACAGAGAATATTACGAAGGACAAAATAAAAACAACGGGTGAAAAAAAAAAAAGGGAGGTAGGCGGTTTGTGTTCGTGCCCAGTTTCTCAGTCCACAGAGAAAAAGCCTGTCGCTGTAACCTCATCACCCACTCAGTCTACTCACAGATACCACAAAATCATTTACATTACGCTTACATCAAGACAACTTGCTGGCTGGTTTCCTCCACCAGCTTCACGTATTACAACATCATAATCAGATTCAGAACATGATAAAATCAAGGTCGTATTTCGCCTCTGAAGGGAAACTATTCATCTCTTTTTGCTGTTGGAGTGGGGGCCTTGCTGAAAAGACAAAACAACACACACATTTTATTAATTACAACTATGGCTGCTGAAACATACAGATCCAAACATTAGAAGAATGACCTTTATGACATGTTCAACGCGTGGGTTCAGTTCTGTTGCATTTATCTGCTGTTGGAAGAAACTGAGTCTGTCATTATGCAATCCTGTCCTTTTACTTGGTGGTGCTATAGTGATTGTTACCAAGGAGGTGTCTTAAACCTGCAGACTTGAGTAGAACTGTTACATAACACTGCCTGTGGTTCGTTTGAGTGTGCTTGTGTTTTTCTCCTGTCACCATGTTACCTTGCTGAACCCACGAGAGGCAGAGTGTGACGTCTGATGGTTACCTTAACATTACCACAACGCCCACGCACGGGTCATGTACACATCTACATCCACCTATAATACACAGAGGCACATGTGTATCCATGTACCTGTGTCTGGTTGTGTAACTTTTTAAATGTGTATAAAATACAAGGCAGAGAGGAAGAAAAAAATGTCCTTGAAACTCTCCTCACGTTCTTTTTTGTACTGATCTGTAGCTTCCATCCACACTGTGATGCTGGCTTATTCATTATAGTATCTGACTAATATACCATCATAGTGATGCACATCACCCTAAAAAGACCCAAAGAGTAAAACAAGCATCAGTGTCTTTTAAACCTTTATTTAGACATCAACAAGTTATTGACTATTAAGAATATCTTTTGCACCTGGAAGCTGCAGTAGATGCCAGTGTCAGTGGCTGTATGTAAGTAAGTAAGCTCCCAGCAATCACATCATATCTTCTTCAGGAAATATAATAGAGCTCCACTCTGAGTCTTCAACTTCTGCTTGAACAGAAGTACAAAACTCAGACTATGTTAATTTAGCTCTTTGTTCAGTGCAGACTGTGAGGTACAAGACAGTTCATCAGGCTGGGTCATGACACCAAGATCTGTTCTGAAACCGTCTCGATAAGGCTCATGTCTGAAAGCTGGTCCGTCAGAATGATATTATCAGAGACAGATAACGAGCAGAAAGAGAGTGAATTGAGGATTTATATATTTTCAGTCTCTCTATCTGTCATAGCAGTGATGTAGTCTGATGAAGCAGCCGGTGAGGACTGGGGAGGATGGTCAGGGTGTTGGCTTGCAGGTGGAGGCCAGTCACGGGTCTGTGGACGTCCAGGATTTCATGATTCTATGGCTGTGGGTTCTTCTGCTTATCTTGGCTTGGCTCATAGAGGTAACTGGCCAAGTAGGGTATCCCCCTCCTGAGCCTCTCTTCTTTCCAGCTCTTCCTAGATGATCTTGAGGTGTTCTCAGGTTTGATGGTTTATGTGGAACAAGACTTCAGTTGACCCCGGGGTCTCCAGCCGGAAGGAAGTGGCCAAGGAGGCATCCTGACAAGATGCCCAAACCACGTCAACTCTTGCCTCTCAGTATCAGTTTAATATTCAAACTATAGCACATATAATATGAACTAACATGTGTAACTATATTTGGGTCTTGGCTCTGTCATGCTCCTGAAAAAACGTGTCACGGCTGGAGAGAGGGGGGAGGTTGAAGCAGTAACAGGTGCGTATGACTGCAGGAGGATGGTCAAAGTGTGGGTGATGTTGCAGTGATGGGTGGGGGGGGGGCTTGTGGTGAGATCAGGGTGAGAGGTTGACGTGACTCAGCCATCACAGCCACTTCCTCTGGCACTGTCAGGATGGAGAGAGGAGAGGAGAAGAGGCAGTGAATCATGGTATATAACCAGCTGACTCACCATATAAGAACGGATGCAGGGAGGGGCAGTATGTATCTGTGTGTGTCCAAATCTGTACTAAGCCTTTGGTCTTTGACAGGAGGACAATTATTCCATTTACCGTCAAACCAAAGGAATGCATGGTGAGATTCCTGCTCTGTGAGTCGTGCACTCTCACCTACCATCACCATGCAGATACGATTTCACCCTTCCCTTTCCCGCTCTCTCTGGGGAATTCCCCCATTCTGTGTGGTTGGACTTGAAGGAAGCTGCAGAGTTTGTGTAAGCCATGTTGATGTTCTGGTAATAATTGAACTCTTCAAGTCACGGCCAGTTTAACATGTTCCTGTTTTTCTTCACGCACAATTTATTTTTGCTAATTTGGAGGAGGTCAGGAGTCTAATTCAGGAAATAAATCTGGATTATGTGGATGAAGTGTGTGGGTGTAATTGCTTGTTTGTGTTCGTGAGATCAGGGATGCTTTGTCATGCTGAATATGCGTGTGTGTGCCTGTGTGTGTGTGTGTGTGTGTGTGTGTGTGTGTGTGTGTGTGTGTGTGTGGAGAGAGAGAGAGAATGAGCAATTAAGCAGCTGCCACTGTAAACCATAGACTGTATATAAAGCTGTAAACTTATACTTGACCATTTTGAGCATAGACCATACAAAGTGAAGACGTTTTTTGACAGTGACATTTAAGGGTTAACACTAAACACTTAAAACTGTGTGTGTGGCGGGGGGGGGTGAGCTTGTGTTGAGTCACAGTTACAATAATGACTCTGGCATAGAAATGGACAAACAGCTCGAACTAACTGTAAAGAGAGAAACAGAGCGAGAGAGAGAGAGAGAGTGAGAGAGAAAGAGAGAGAGGGAGAGAAAAGGAGAGAGCAAGAGGGGGCTGTGCTCTCAGTGGCATCTCCATCTTATAACTCCTCTGCTAGTCAGTGCATCCACACACACGCACACACACACACACACACACACACACACACACACTGACATAGAGGCTACAGTACAGTATATCAGTTTAGTGCAGTGTGGGTCAGGACTGTCGTTCAGCGGAGAGTGTGAAGTGGTGTGTGCAGTGAGGACATCATGTGTCGTGTGGTGGATGATGGATCATCTGCAACAGGTTAGTGTTGATGTTTATCACTGTGCTTGTGTACGTGTATATTTGTTGTATATTCGGTGCTATAAAGAAAAAGACGCTGTTTTACTTTCAGTCTTTTACTCTGAAACAACTCGTGTTAAAGTGCGTGTCATGGGTGTTACAGAAAGTGACGTAGCAGTTTCACTTTCAGTCTATTTTTGAATCAGTCGGTCGCCTGTGGCCCATGCTGAGAGACTGATCTCTGTCATGTCTGCTATCAGTCACTAAAGAGTCAAGACAAGAGAGACAAGTTTGAGTTGAAGAAGGAAAGGAATTTAACCAACCCTGTTATTTACGAAGGGTGATCCAACAAGAGTCTGTCCTCTCGGTCACTATCTGTTGATTTTACAAGCAGTGACACAAGAATGAGAGAAAACACTTTCCGCCTCTCACTCCTGTCTGTTCTCACAGACTCAATGTGAAGCCACTCACTGAGAGATTGATTTTCAAGGATAGACATCTTCCCTTCATACTAAATTATCGTCTGTATAAGCGTGTCTGTGTGGAATTTTCACTGTCTTGCTCTCATTTGTGAATGTTGCTTATGTGACTGTCAGGTGACCACACCTGGATCCTGTCCTACATACATATATAACACACTCCCTGCAAACCTCATTCTGTCATTTAAATCCTGCGTGTGATGAAGTCTTCCTTTGTTTGTACCATTACTGATCTCAGACCAGGCAATAAAGGTCTAGACTCATTAACGGAGGACCGGCAAGTCTCTAAAATCCCCTGGTTACAGCAAATATACTGTTACATTTATTTTGCCCATATTTGACTAAAACAACTCAAATTCTCTTCCTCCTGTTCATCCATCCTCATTCATAACCACCTCCATCGTTTTGTGTTTGCTGCCTCTTCAAAATGACAAGTCCAGGAAATGTGTCTGTATGACTCATGTGTCAAAAGGTTGATTGCTTTAAGTCTTGGTACATGACAAACGCAGCTTATAGTCTTTGATGAGACATATCTTTCATAATCATTCCAAATGTTTGTGTTATGATCGTAGATTCTTATACATAGACAAAGAGATGGACTGAGGCTCTTCAGTCCAGTGTTTTATAGTCTGAGGTAGGTGGAGCTGATTACTTTCATCTGGCCAAATGCCCACAGCCCAGACTGGGTTTCTGATCTCCACCAGATCCTGTCGATTCTCATTACACTCTGCTATCGCCTTAAAGCAACAGTTGAATATTCACCATTTAATACTATATATATTTATATGCCTTCAAACAGTAGCTGAAGCCAGGCTAGCAGTTTCCAGTCTTTATGCTATGCTGAACTAACTGGCATGAGACAGACATGAGATTTTCCTTTAATCCATCCATCCATCCAGCAGGACTTTGTGAATGATACAGATGTTTGTCTGTGAAGAAGAATTTCAAAATGAATCATCACTTATTTTCCTTCCTGTATCTGAAGTAAAACGGCCATTTTAGGAGTGACTCCTTCAGAAGATGGTTTTTTGGCTGCCCATGGTTTTGCTGACTCATTTTCTGCCCACCTGTTTGAACTTCAAACTGATCAAAGTCATCAGTCAATACGTAACAAGCCAAAATGTCACCTCTGGTTAGGTCGGGTCATCAAAACCACTTTCGTTCACATCAAGACGAACAGGAAACCGTTCTGCCGAGGTGAGCACATGATAGCACATATTCATGGGGTCACACCTTCTGTTGCCATTAAGCATAATTGCCCCACCATGCCCCACGTGTGAACTCACTTAAGAATACAGAGGAACGTTCACTGCAATACTAACAGTAAAAACCTCAACTTCAGACGCGCAGAACCTTTCATGATGAGCTCAGACATGATGTATGTCAGCCATCATGTCCTCCTCATCCACATGTCTCGGCTGACCTCTGCTCCTCATGGCAGTGTGACCGTCGGCTGACTCACCCTGGATTCTCGGACGCTTGATGACACCAATCTTGGAGAGATGAGAGCCAAATTGATGACTACAGCCTCTGGATGCCTCTTGGCCCCATGAGGGTCACCAATCTCATTTAGTCATCATACCAGATTGGTGATGCATAGCATTTACCAGCAAACCCCGAGGAGGGTGGAATTTCATTTCCTTCCTCTGAAACAGCTCCAGTGTTGTTTTTGTGTGATGTGGTGAGGTTGCACTGCGGCACTTCTTTCCCTGAAATGAAAACATGTATTAACCAGTATCTTTGTATCCCTGTGTGTTGGGTTTGTGTGTAATGAGATAAACCTTCACCCTTTTCTACTCCTGTTCAAATGAAGCCATCTGGGAGCGAACATGAGTCACAGCTCCAGGAGTAGATCATTATTAAACCTACCAGACCTGAGACATTCACGTTAACAACAGTTTTTATTCTATAGCTCAGAACAGAAAATGCTAAATGCACTTAACACAGTTAGCCTGACTCTGTCCAGTGGTGAAACAAAATGGACAACTTCAGAGTGTATTTTTAACTGTGCAATTCAATGGCTGTATTCTGCTCACACTGTATATATTGTTT